CCCTCCTTGACTTGATTCTGTTCCAGCAGAAGTTGTTGCTTTATGGTTTTCAGCTCAGCACTTAGCTGAGTACTCTGGTCTGACCAGCTTTGGCTTTGTCTCAAGACTTTCTCAAGCTAGTCTTTTAGCCGAATGCGCTCTTCTTCACCTCTCTTTTCTGAAGTGCTGGCCTGTTCTTGGCTCTGTCTCAATGTAGCAATGGTGCTCGTATAATCTCTCAAAGTGACAGTGCTCTTTTCTAGCTCTGATTCAGCTTTCATCCTCATGACCACCTCTTCTTGATGTGCTCTCCTCAGATTTTCAACCTGACCTTCGAGGCTATCTCTAACTCCCTGCAGGTCTTTGATGCGTCCTTGCAACCTGTTCATGTTTTGCTCAACTCTGCTTCGCTCCTTGCTCTCTCTTTCCAGCTGTAAACGTGCCTGAAGAAGCTCCTCTTCACAATCCCTTAGCTGTGTTGCAGTCATTGATGAGCTGCTTAGGTTGACCTGTAGGTTAGCTAAAGATTGCTCGAGCACAACTTGCCCCTCTTCTGCTATTTTCCTTCTGCGTGTCTCTTCCTCTAAACTATGAGTAGCATAAACCAGTTGGTCATCCTTTTCCTGTAGGGTCTTCAATACTTCATCCAACTCCTCTCTGTACTGGTTCCTTTCCTCCTCTCTCTGTCTCATTAGTTGCTCCATTTGACTTTCCATTTCTCTTCTCTTGTGCGCGTCCTCTATGAGCATAGCCCGCTGAGAGCAAGCTTCCTCCTCTACCCTCTTCTTCTGCTCCTCGGTTAGACTGTTTATAGTCCTAAGCCTCCTTAGTTCATCTTCCAGACTCCTCCTCTCTGCCTCCATCCTGTCATACTGTATCTGGAGCTCAGCTGTATCCTCGTCCCTCTGAGCTGAAAGCCTCTGGATGTCTGTGCGACTGATATGGATCTGAGATTCGTAGCTGAGCTTTAAATTATTGACCTCCGTACTGTAATAGCTCCTTACCTTTGATATCTCTTTTTGAAGTTCCATCAACTTTGTTGATTCTTCAGTCAGCTGCCGCCGCAGCTGCTCATTCTCATGCTCCATATTTTTCAAGCTCTTGTCCACTTCTATCTTGGACCAGTTGACTGACTCCAGCTCTTTCTGCCTCTTTCCTAGCACTGACTGATACTCCTCTTGCTGCTGAGTGTAGCGCTCTTCTGCCAGCTTTGTCTTCCTTTTCTCTTCAGCAAGTAGATACTTGAGACGATCCACCTCACTGTTGAGATCAGCAAGCTGGCTCTGAGTGGAGTCTAGGCTGTCCTTAGTAGCGCTGCACTGCAGCGCAGTTGTTTGCTTCACCTCTTCAAGTGATAACAACTGCTCCTGCGACAGCGAAAGCTGCAACTTGAATTGAGCTACAGCCTCTTCCAGCGATTTGTTTTCTGCATTTCGCTCTTGCATATCCTCTCTCAGACGGCGAAGGTCATCTTCGAGCAGATTGATCTGTGTGTTGCGTATCTGCACATAGGATAGAGCATGAATTACACATAAAACATTTTAAATAGGCACCTTCTTGGATTTTTAAAATAAGGAATGCAGTTATTAATTGTGTAAGTAATCGGTCCCTAACCCTACTTTTTTCATATTCAAACTCAAGAATTTATGTTTCCTAAGGAGTTTTAGATATTGCATATTTGCAATCAAGTAACGGTCTTCAACATAGATTTAACACAGACGCACAAATAAATCATATATATATATATATATATATATATATATATATATATATATATATATATAATTTTNTATATATATATATATATATATATATATATATATATATAATTTTGTTTATTTTTTGTACAGTTTTAATCAAGTTAATCAGATATTTTCCCCAGCTCTAATATAACTGTAGAAAATTACTTCAGTACCTTAAGCTCCTCCATGTTTTTGAGCAACTGTCCAAGGAATTTGTAGTAGTCGCCAGAAATAATAAGTAGCTCCATGTAACGAGTTTGAAGGTGTATAGCCTGGAAACAAAGAAATAAATTAGAAGTGACATTGTTGAAAGAAATTAGTTGCACTTCATCATACCCCTTTTTAGACATAAGCACTATATTATACATATAAAGGCAATTATATATATAAATAATTATACAGACTGTCTGCATGTGTTAAATTTATAATCATACTAGGACTGTCAGAAAATAACATTATTCACTTTTTTTTTACATCTCTTTGTTCACAATGAAGTTGAATCTTATTAAATAACTACCTCTTGGTTAAGATCCATGGACGGTGATTTAAGCATTGTCCTCTTGATGGGGATGTTGAGCAGTGTTTCTAACCCAGAGGTGTAAGAATTTAGGTCTGTTTCATAGTCCTGCAAGAAACATGGACATAAGACCAGAAAACAGACTTAAATCATAAATATACCTGACGCGCTTGCTTACCTTGATACTATTCACACATGTCACATTATCTCTCAGCACACTGTCCACCGTCTCCCGCTTTGCCTTGATTTCTGTGTTCAGAGCCTTAAGAAACCAATAAAGCATAGACAAAACGGATGTAAATTATCTCAAGATAGCACTTATTGCAAGACCATTTAAACAAAATGAAATGCAGGGATGAACAGAGAACCTTTTGGTTGTTAATGTGATCTTGTAGTGCTTCGATGCTCTCTATCTTGGTGGCTTGCAGGGTGTCCTGTTTTCTACGTGTTGCATCAATCCATTCGGTGATAGAGGTGTTGGTTTCCTTGTAGTGCTCCAACTGAGGCAGATACATCTGCAAATCTTGCAGCCTGAGCAAGATTAATAAAACATAATCTATTAACAGGTATGCCAAATCTGTAAAACAAAATCCTTTATCAAAGCTTGATTATCTGTGTCAACTGATAATCAAGTTCTACCTGGTGTCAATCTGTGCCTGGATCCGTCTCCAGCGGTCAGACAGCAAGCCCACCTTCTCAGTGAAATTTGAAAGCATTAGGTCACATCTATGGAAGGAGCCGCTCATTTGACTGTTCCAGTGGCTTGCTTTGGACAGCTCTGACTCCATGGAGGCCAGAAGATCTCTCCTTTGCCCCAGCTCTGCTTTCATTTTCTACATGTTAACATACCAAGATGAGGGATGTTAGAATTACAAGGTGCTGGACTTTTTGTCAGCACATGCAGTAGTAGTTATAATTAAAGAATTAGAGGACCCAGTCAAATAACACAGCAAGTACTTTTACAGAAATAAAGGGGTTACTTTCCTGGAAATAAGAGGTTTGTTTTCAGAATCATTACGGTACTTTCTTGAACTTCATCAGGCAGGTTCAGTAATTCACCTGGTAAGTACGGGGAGTTTTCACTCCAGTTACTGAGTAAAATACTTGCAGGTACGTTACCTGCACTTATAGTATATATATATGCACTTTTCAGATCTTTAGTGTGTCACTTGAGGAAGTATTTCTACAAGGTAGTTTTACAATAGAAATCACTAAACAAGGAGGTTATGTTAGTGGGAGAGTTTGTTTGTTTGTCTGCCTGTGAACAGGATAACTTGAAAAATCATGGACGGATTTTAATGAAAGACGATTGATAGGTGCGTCTCATGCCAGGGAACAATTCATCTAAATTTGGTGTAATGATCCAGATCATGTGCAGGTTTTAGCTTTAGGTTTAAGGCATTTTTTGTGCACTCTCCGAGTGCTTTTCTAGTTTTTCCACATATTTATTCCGTATTACTAGATACATTCTGTTTCTTTCATGAGTTTCTCCCTCTGCCTGTTAATCTCCTTTATAGTCTCCATCTGGTCTCTGCTCTATTTAAGCCATCAGTGTGTTTTCATTTTTTACTGGGTTCCTTTGTTTGCCGTCTGTGCTAATGCTTGGTTTTCATTTCTACTTTGTGTGATGCAGTTTATTCATAAGGAGCCCTAAAGGTTAGAATTTTACACCTGAGCCCATGTCTGCAGATCGGTCCAGTCTTTTCAGATTGTCATGTCATGAAGCTTAAGGAAAGTGTCTAATAAGTTGTAGAAGAGTTACAGAAAACACCTAGTAACATCTGGTACAGTTTCAGAAACATTTCTGAAACAATTTCAGGAGTGTAACCCTAAGTTCTGTGAAAGTACAAGCTGTATTGTGCAGCATAGAACCAATAATTTTATCATAGGATTATATATAGAAATGCTTACAGTACCTTCAGGAAGTCCATGTATTCAATTACTTCAGCTGGAGAAAGAGAAGTGGTCTCTTTTTCTGTCAGTCTGGCTTCATGAACTTTAACTATGTCCTCAACTCGCTCTATGCTCTCCAGCATGTCCCTTATAGCCCGCAGCCTGCAGAGTAAAAAAAGAGAAATATCACCATTAATACAATTTAAAAAACAAATGCAATGCAGATTATCTATATGGAAGAATATATTTTATGATTAATATTTGTGTTTAACCTTTTTATAAAATCCATCCAACCTAAGTTATGGTCCTTTAAGTTAATTATGTATTTTAAAATCTCAAACTCAAGTGCATTTAGTTATAGTAACATTATATCATATACGTAGCTGCAGCAGTGAGGCTCTACACCAAGTATTATACTGAATATTAACAAAACATTATAAATCTAACTTATATAAATGACTTCTGTGACTTAGTTTTATCCTATTATAGTTGTGAGTAGCCCTCCATCAATATTATTTGTTCACTTGAAATTTATATGAAACATTATGCGTTTATTTAGTTTTTATGAGTTAAAGCAGATATCCAATAACTGATTAATTTTCAATTCTGAAACATTGACCTTTCAGTCTGTAATATTTGTCAGTGATATAAAAAAAAAATCTGGATTCAATGTTAAACTGACCTTGAATGTAGAAAACTCTTTAGCATTTTTTTTTTATAGAAAATGTTTTCAGTTTAAAAATATCATCTACTTGGTTAGAGCTTAGCTATGTTTTTTCTCAGATACTAAAATTATAATGAAATGTTGGGTATGTTAACAAAATGCAATCACTTCAAATAATTTGCTCAGGGAGTATATTAATACGTCAAATTACTGTTTAAGGAGTCCTGATCAATTTAGTACAGATTCTGTTTGCAACAAATCATTTAACAGTTAAAGAAATATTACTTTAGAAGTACTTTGTTGGCTCACAAATTATAAACCATTTATTATTCAAAGTCTTAAAAATCTGCTATCCTAATTTGTTTTTTATTTTTCTTACTGTATGTTTCTTCTTAATCATCTGAATAATGTCATGAATGTGGGAAGAGTGTTTCGAGGCCATGTTTTAGAAAGCAGAAGAAGTAAGAAATCGAAATAAGTTCAGGGGTAAATATCTGGATCTTCTCCTTTGTAAAACTAGATGGCTGTTATCCTGAGTCTATTCACTACTGCATGTTACTCTGTGAACTACCTCTAGTCATTAACAGGATTTGTTAAATAAACTTATCCTGCTGCACAGGCTAAGTGGATCATATTTTCTGCCTTCCATTGATGAGGGCCTTTTATGTACTCACTCTGATGGTGAATAAAAAAAGAAAGAAATAAATCATTTCACAAATGCTGCATCACACTGATAACACCAAACCAAAAATACTGCATATTTACACCATATATATTAGTGCTCTGAACTTCCATATCAATGCGTTTTTTTTTTTGTTTTGTTTTTTTTGCGCCATGTTTTTTCTCCCACACTGTTAACATCTAATCACTGCTGCACTTTATGTAATGGAAATGTTTATTTAATATCTGAAAAGCTGTACTAAACCAAATTTCATTTTAAACACACTGTGTATATAAAGTTACAATAAAACTTGTCTAAGTCTAAGGTTAATTCTCGACGGACCTAAATTAGAGTTAGTTACCTTGTTGAAATTACTTGTACTGAAAGAAAAACCCTGAACATCAAAGAATTAAATCACTTAACTCAGGACCCTGCTTTCTACTCAGGCTAAGGGAAGCCGACTCTATGAAACAGTGTTCTAACATTTTAACCTCTTAACATCCACCTCATTTTGGGTAATCCTCGCCTATTTTACATTCCTAAATGGAAAAACAAATAACTTAGGAACTGTAAGCCCAAATTACATGTACAATACATTATTTAAAGCGTACACCCTCTAGTTTCCTAATATATAGATTAAGATTGGGTGGCTGGAACACAGACCAACCTGCATCAGTTCAAACATGACTCAAAGTTGTTTTTTTATTCTCGGAAATGATAGGTATTTTTTAAACAGCAGTAATAAAGACATTCTTAATAAAAGGCAGGTTTTATTGTATTATATGTGTTCTACATCGTTTCAAGCACAAATGCAGAAAATTTCAGACCTAGACCTCAGACCTAGCTGTAACAGTTCCAGAGCTGTGGGGTTTTGAACTTTTGGCGTCAGCTTGGAGCTGCGCGCAATGGCTCCCCCTGCTGGTAAAAAGTTTACCGGTGGAATTTTATGCATTCTGAATTATTACCCCCACTTAAGTTCAACCTGGTTGCCGGCGACCCGGTGGGTTTTAAGAGGTTAAATACTGTATGGAACGGAAATGTTCATTTATTGTCTGAAAAGCTCCGCTTTCACATTAGTATGATTTTTGAGGAGTGCTTCTGTTGAGTACCTTAGTACGTATGCGGATGAGCTGCTCTCCAGACTGCCCAGTCTCTGGTTGATCACTCCAATTTCACTGCGGAGGAACTGTGCTTTATCTTGATCACTCATGTTCTCCAGCTCTTGCAAGATACGCTCTCTTAAACGCATATAGGCATCACGCATCGAGTCAACGTCATCCTGTACCGACTAAATCAAACAAAAACAAAAAAAGATTAGTTGTATGTGGGAAACAAAAGAGCTCAATCATATGTTTGGGGTTTGTTGACTGCTTTAGAATTTTATATACTTCTATGTTGTTGTTGTTTTTTTTGTACCTCTAGCTGAATGATCCTTAGACCACAGTCTTGAGCCCCGTCATCTCCGAAGCAAACGTGAACATACTGACTGAGCGAACCCTCAGCAGCATCCATTCTCAGTCTGAGGGCATGCAGCTCAGCTAAGAGATGAGATGACGAGGAAAACGCAGAGGCGGAGGAGGAGGAAGAAGTCTTCCTCTTTTGTTCTGTTTTGGTCACTTTCACCACTTCTCTCTTGATTGTGTGCTCCTTCTCAGCCGTCTCTTTCTTAACCTGCTTTTTAAGCTCTGCTTGACGCCTCTCTTCCTCCAGCCTCCTGGCCTCCTCCTCTGCTGCCGCTTGCTGCTGTTGCTCTTGTTCTCGTTGCTGCTGCTGCTGTATTTGTTGTTGCTGTAGTTGCTGTTGCTGTAAGTGCTGTTGCTGTAGTTGCTGTTGCTGTAGTTGCTGTTGCTGTAGTAGCATCAGTTGGTGTTGCTGCTGTTCTTGTTGCAGTAGCAGTACCTGGTGTTGCTGGGGTTGTTGTTGTATGAAGTACACCTGTGGTTGAACCTGATGTTCAGTAATTTGTTGAACCTCTATTTGCTCCTGATGTCCAGCTGTGGGAAAGCAAAACTGTTTTTTTTAGCTTTTGGAATTAAAGGAATATAATCTGCTCCTATTTTTCAGATAATATATTTTCAAACTTAAATATATGTTTAGTTTTCTTAAAATATGATACTTTAGCAATAGAAAAAATGATTCCAATGTACAATTACTAAAACACTCACAATATGTGGGCAGCTCCACCACCAGTTTGTCATAATGGGCCTGGGCTCCAGCAACCTGGTTCTCAATACTCCTTTTGTCCTCATCAGCAAACATCTCCGAGCCATGGCTCATAATTTTGAATTCCTCAAAGTGGGTCTCCAGCTTCTTCATGATCTGACGGTACTCCTCAGGACGCATCTTGGACAACTAAACAATAAGCACACAGAGTGACTACCAAACTAAAAAAAAAGAAAGCATAAAAAAATCCCTTCAATGCAACTTCAAGTGCAACCTAGTCTTGTTAGTTATCTCATGTTAAAGATGAAAACGTTTAGTTAACTCAATAATAAATATTCCCACAGCTTACCATCGAGACGGTGAGAGAGTTGACGTAATTGATATCCATGAGGCAATAGTGCCAGGCAATGAGACTCTTAACGTTGATGTACAGCTGATTCCAGAGGGACATGATGGCCTCGTAATACTGCTCATTCCTTCCCAAACACAAATACGTCAGGAAACTCTGAACGCTTGGTGAAACTATAATGGAAATGTTGTGTTGGAGCAGATTGTTCTTGTCTTACTTGTTGGCGAGGCTGATGCTCAGTGGATTAGGAGGCGGTACAATCAGACACACAGAAGGTATCAACATATCGATCCCTCCCGGGCCGGTTACACTCCATTTACTGCGCTGACTGTTGTCTTTCAGGATGGCCTCGTTGTCTTTTCGGATCACCTTCTGCAGGGACAAAATAAAATATACATTCTTAATAACAATAATAAGACAGTTATTTAAACTTTTGGTCCAGAGAACCCCTGTTTTTTGTGTATTCTATATTATAGAAGTGACCTGGTCTTGTTTAAAGTCAGTCAGAGCCTTGACGATGATGCCACTGCTGCTCTTTTCCTGCGGGTTTCGAGGTTTCAACCTCACAATCGTCTTTGACTTGGCAGTCAGGTGTTGAACCTGCCGCTTTAAGTCTGTGATATTCTCCTTTTCCCTCTAGAAAAAAAGAGAATTACAAATCATTTACATCAGTTTTGAGCTACTAGATAATTCCCTTTCCAATGAGATTTCTTTAATCTCCTAAATGGTAAACTGCAAATCCTTTCGTTTTCTTTCTATTTTTACAAAAATACAACAGAAAATATACGCACCTCCAGGCCTTTAAGGAGCTCCTTTAGATCCTCCATCGAAGTGTCCTTGTTACAAGTGAATGTCTTTCGAATTATCTCATGTTGGTTTTGCAAAGCTTTGTGCGTATCATTAGCCTCTCTGAAGAACTATCAAAGAAAATAACATTAGATAAGCTTCATGAAAACACAGTCTATGATAAATAAATTAAAGAAAACAAAAGAGGATTTTTATTATCAGTAATCACAACTGAGATTTTCCTTGCCAGGATAACAGTACAATAACAAAAAAAGGATTTGGAGGTAAATTCCGTTTTGCCACAGAAATGAAAAATGTTGTTTTTGTTATTGGCCATAGAACAAAACTTAAAAAATTTTGAGTTTTGTTTTTTATTATTGTAAATAATGTAACAGTCATGTTTTTCTTTTTTTTTATTAAATGGGTTCATAGTGATCTTTACATTTTTAATCTTAATTTCAAATATATATATATATTTTTTTTTTAACAACAGTGATATTATTTAGTAACTGGAGCAACTTGAGGTTTAAAATCAGGCTTCTTTTATCACCCCTGAGCCGTCACGGTTGTTCATCATGGAGCCAAGCTATGTAATGAGAGTAAAATGCTGTTGTTCATTATAAAGCGGATTGCTGCTGTCATGGTGTTTTTCAGCAAGGTGGTCTACCACAACCTGTCAACCCAGTGGTACAGATCCAGAAACCCTCCAAAGAAAGGCATCTATAAGGCAGCCTGATCAGATGCACAAATAGAACTCCTTATGATGCTGATGAAATAGTTCAAGCTTTGCCTAACTAAAGGAGGTCTTCCCGTTTTATAATTTCTCTCCAGTCAATCATATTTTTGATAATAAAATGGATTTTGTCAGTACTTTAGGGCTGCAACTGATGAATATTTTGCAAATAGTGAATTAGTTGGCGATTATCTCAATGATAGATCAATCACGATGAATCCGATTAAATGTTTCACCCTTAAACTACATGTAAGAGCTGTAGCCGGGCTGGCAAATCACACAGTTGTCCTCTACAAAGCACATCTGAGCAGTGCCCACCATGCTGTAAACAAAGTCATAACCTATATGTCTGTCTACCAGTCCACCCCCACATAACTAGCAAAAGACAAAATCACAAAGAAACTTCAAATTCTTTGCTTGATGCAGAGATTGAATGTCCCTCAAAGGGAACAATGCAGCTTCTTCTGGTTGATAGCCCTGAGCTTAAGCACATTAGGAATATGGTGATCTGCTGAGTCAATTGATGGATGTCAGGTGACACTTTTGAAACATAGATGGGTTGTAGTGAAATGAACAGACAAAACCTAAGTATTTTACAATCCTGAATAGATCAGTGTTTAAAAGAATGGTTGTAGGATTAAAACGAGGAATTTTTAACACACATCACACTGCATATTATTGCCTTTTCTAAAGCGAACTCTCATACAGTTCATACACAGGATGATACAAAACAGGGCACAGTATTTAGCTGCACTAAGCAAAACAATGTCTAAATATTTAGGAAGAGAAAAATACCAAAAATCTACAACTATGCAGTAAAAGTAACAGAGAACCTTAATGAAAGAAAATACCAAACGTTTTCTGGAACAGTGAAATGCATCTTCATTTATAATTTGATTTTTGCTTTTAGCAGGACCAAGATCCACCATGGTAAAACAATCTGACGTTATAGATACTGATTTCTCTGCATAAATGCATTAAGCCATATTAACAAACTAACAACAATTAGTATTTGCCTTATGAAGCATTTGCTTTCAGTATTTTAGTTGAAAATGTTATATTTCAGGCAGCTGAATCATCACTGATCACAGAGGTCAGCAGTGACTAAAACTGTACAGCCTTCACTTACTCCAAGACAGTAAGTTTAAAGGTGCCGCAGCAGTGGAACATGTCTGATTTACCTGGCAGTAAGCTGCGTTCTCCTTCAGGTGAGTATCAATGCACATTGTAATTTGAAGAAGCCAGCTCCACTGAGTCTGCAAAGTGTCCATGTAAGCCTGGCAGAAAATATATTTTAACATTTTAAATACAATTTATTGCTGTATAGATGCAAAAAATTTTGTCAATTTCAAAATAAGTGTCGTCTCCAGACCTCAATCTTATCAGAGGCAGGGTGGGCTTTTTTCAGAAGTGTTTTTGCTTTAGTCTGAAGTTTATGCAGATCCTTCTCTTTGGTCTCCAGGGCACTCATAAGTTGCTGTTAGATGAGAAGAAGAATTATAGTCATAAAGGATACCAAGATGCTGCATCAGGAGAAGCTCCGTGGTTCCTCTACAAGCAGAGGATAAATGATGGCAGCTGACAAAATCATATCTGTGGAAAACTTTTATAGCCATTAAAGACAACACAAGTGATTTAGGTTCTTAGAAATTTTCCAAGAATGTTAATTGACTGAAATTTCTTTGGCCCTGAAACAAAAATGTTGCTGTATTTGGTTTCACTGACCGAGTAGCTCTCCTGCTTCGTAGGGATGTATTTTTCTATGTTCCTGTCGCTCCAGTCGAACATCAGCTCCTCCTCCTCCTTTTCGTTTACCCACATGATCTCTTTGGATATTTCCTCGAGAAACAGGATCGTCTCTCGCAGCTGCTCGGTTTGTAAATTGGACATTTTCTAAAACAAAAGGAGATAGTCAGGTGATCCAAAAAATATGACAAAATTCAGCAAAAAGATTCACACATCAGAGGGTAATAATGATATGTTAGTTTCTTTAACCTGTAAAGAGTCCCACTCCTGTTCCAGGGCATACTGGTTGGGTTTGTCTCCCAATTTTCTCTGAGGAGAAGATGATAAAACATTTAAAATGTCTTAAAACCATTTTAAGGGGGGAAAAAATGCTCACTGGAGGGAGCATGAGGGAAATTTTAAAAAAGGTATTCCTTCTCTGAATTTTTTGAAGTTTTGAAGTTATAATATAGTCTGTATATCATATATATGGTATGATATTATAGATATAAATTCCAGACAGACAGACGGAAGACTAAACCCACCATTTCATCAATTGCTCGTTGCACCTCAGGGGCCCGCTGGATCGAGGAGTGAAACCTCTGGTGATTGATAAGCTGCTGCTCTAGGCCCCCAGGGTCATCTGCCCAGGCAGTTGTTTCAATTAACCGCTGGAATAATACAAACATTTATATAATTACACAATCAGGCTTTAAATAAAGTCAAATGATATATTTCTTAGGAAAATCCCCATAGAAGTCTCACTGAATAGATAATTTCTTGAGGCTGGAAAACCTCTGGACAGGGAGACTTTTTCAAATATGCTTTTAAATTATCCAAAGAGTCTTTTGATAATTAATCTAAACAACAAATTTTCCAAGTAATTAATCTGCTGGCAGCTTTATATTAACTGCTAAACATGAAAAATAAAATGTCCAGTTGATTAATCCAAATAGCACATTTCTGAAGCAAAAAAAAGATTAAAGTTTCTTTTTGTTAGTCATGAAGCTAAATGACAACTTGTCACTATAATCTCTGAAAACAATAGGGGTGAGTATTGGCATGTGTGCTGCCATACGATACGTCTCACGAAACTTGGGTCACCATACGATACTATCCAGATATTGCAATATTTTACCCAGCTATCAAAATGAAATTTATAGATAAAAAAGCAAAAGCTTAATATATTCATCAAAATCCGTGTTCTTTGGGGTTAAAGTCAGTCCACGTCTTCCACTGCGACTGCCTCAACGGCTCCACGGCGCTATAGAGTGGCGCTGCAGAGGTAGCCCATTTTCCCTCATTGTTTTAGGTTAAAATATTCTTTTTCTTTAATCGATATTAGGATCTGAAAGATTGATATTATATTGGGCAGCCAAAAATCACAATATATCGCCAAATCGAATATTTACCACAAACCTAGAAAACAGTAAGCAGTCACAAACTTTTAACCAACATGGACTTTCTGGTGTAATAAGTGATTAGGGAAGCAGCATGATGTACTGACATAATACAAACAGAGCAGCAGGGTCTGCAGTGGGCAAAGAGAGCAGATACAACGTTGACAACGGGCTTACTGACAAAATGTTTGTTTTCCTTTGTCTTAAAGACTAGTATAATACTAATGTAAATGTCTGTAAACAACCCAGCTACAGAGACACAAGCTTAATGCAAGTTTATTTTAGGTACACCAGACTAGATTACAAGCAGAAGGGTTTTTTCTTGGAGATGTGTCTTTAAAGCTGAGCTTTAAATGAGTTCTGGGGACCAAGCACTTAAATCATAGCCTACAGAAATACCAGTATGCAGCATTTCTTTCATTCTTATGCTTTTTACTCAATTTTTGATGTGTAAAAACACTTTTTCTCAGAAAAAGAGTATGTAAAGTTCATAGCATCTGCTATAGGTCAGCACAAATTCTATAAAAGAAAAACAAATCTATGATGATTTAACTGTTAAGTAGTTGACTGTAATCCTGAAAGAGTAATAAAACAAGACTGTTTTGTGGCTTTAATTGGGATTTTCTATCTGAGAACATCTTAAATCCTACTTGATGCAGGAGACTTGGGTTGGGTTTGAGGTTTCGGTTTTTGTTGTGTCACGCAGCTTTATGTGTGTTTGAGTTTGTTCCTGCCTTTTGCTGAGCGATCCAAGCCATAGCATCATTATAGCTCCTTGCTGATTCTTCCCAGCCTCCAGAGCTCTTTCTCCTGCTCATGCTCATGCTCATGCTCTTCCTCCTCTGCATGGTGCCCGACATGACCATGTGGACCTCCTTCAGCTGATCAGTGTAGAGGTCCACACTGCAAATAGAGGAGAAAGCAACAATGCATTTTGGGTTAGGCTTTAGGAAATCTTATCAGAACATGGCAGAGGTGATTAAAGGGGAAGCAGTTTTACTTTCTCATTAGACCGTCAAAGGGTTGCCCCATTTGACGCAACTCTAGGGCGAAGTATTTTAACTTCTCGATGGCCTCTCTGGCCAATTCCATATAGTGCTCAGCATCACCCGAGCCCTGCAAGACAAGTACAAAAAATAAGTTCAAGTTGGAAAATGTCTTCTTTTACTAGAGCAAATCCAATATTTAAAAGAAACGATCTCTGGCTGACAATTTGCAATCACTGACACAAGACTAAGAAAACATTGCAGCTATTTTTAAAAGCTGAACGGCTACTGATGAGCTTTTTCGTTAGGCAGCTCAAGTAGAGAGTGAAAAAAAGCCTAATTTTCTATGTGGTTTCTGTTGTAAATCTCCCCTTTAAACCACAACATTTCTCTCATTTTTTCCCCAACCAACAGAGGACAAGCTGTAACTACACACTACCTCAAATCACATGTTAAACCGTCTAAAAAGCTGAAACTCACAACGACGCATCTGCGTCCGATAAGAAAAAAAGAAACTTTTAGAGCATAAAAATCACCACTCACAGCCTGAATGGCGAACTCGGCCTTCTTCAGGTACTCATTGCAGAGAATCTGCTGCTGTGTGGCTCTGTTGGCGATGGACACGGTGGGGCTGCAGGGGGCAGCAAAAGAAAGCGTCACATCACAATGTCACCATTAAGACCAATCTACAAAATCCTGCTCTAATAAAAATAAAACACATGAATTCCTCCGCAAAGTATTCCAGTACTTTTATTAGCCAGAGAAAAATGTAAATTGTCTAGTTTAAAACTGCATCTAATCATATTCATATTTCAAAACAGCTAGTTAGTATTTAATGTTAATTTTTTCCTGACTTCATAATATTTTCTAAATAAAAAATGACAAAAGAAGACTGAATCATGATCTGTCACTGACTGAATAGATGGTTCAGTGATGGATATCAATTAAAGTGGTTAAATCTTGCTATATTCAATAGAAAAACATTGTTTTAGGGTTAAAATAATGTTTTATTTTGCATGAGAAAATATTCAAAGCTATACAATTAGTCTTAAGAGATAATACCATTATTAATTTCCCCTGACATATTTACGAATGTCCTCTATGAATTGTATCCACATGTTTATCGTTTTTTATCATTTAATTGGAGTCCTGACTTTAATCTGAAAGGTAAGCTGGGAGCTAAGCATTAGGGTGATGGCAAAGAGGCCTCCCAACGTTAACGAGTAGAAGCTGATCAACAAATATATAGAATTTCAAAATATGAGTGCAAACAGTGCGAAAGGAAATATAAAAAAGGTTTGGTAAATTATCCAATGATTATTGGAAGGATTATAAAGCATTTCTCAAATTCCAATTTCTAAAACAGTATAAATAAATGAATTTTTTTCTTCAAATTTTACACTTTTTTTTCCTACTAAACTATTTTGTTCTTGAAAGTATGCTTGTCTCATGTCCTGTAAAAATTCGGTTTCTAGTTTCAAAGAAATATTTTAAAATCATAATCCTACAGGACCTCTAACAACCATATGCCTTATATCATTTCCTCTATGCTCAAAATTTGCTACTAAAAGCTGCCACACCTTTTAACATGTTTAAGGTGGTTTGCTCAATATCTCCCCCATACTTTCTAAAAATAAAAAGGTTTTGCAGCTTTCACTCCTTTTCAGCTCGGCATATGACAAATCCTTAAGATATTTGTCTCTATTTATTTGCACACGCATTTACAGAACTTCATTCTAACCTATAAATCTTAAAGGTTGTGATTCAACTAAACCTTCCCCAGTTTATACCCAACAATTACAAGGCCATATAACTCATATGTTAATGCATATGACATAACTATTACATGACTATGTGTGTAATTGCATATAGATTTGTTTCTCTTATTAGGTAAATATTTTTAATTATATAACAAAATAAATCACAAATGAAATTCCCAACCTTAAATGATTTATATTTATTTATGGAGGTTTTATATAATCTCATATTTGTAATGATAGTTGTCTTTAATCCCAGCTCAGTGGCTGCCAATCAAACCCACAGCAACTCTTTTTTTTCCCCAGGAAGATATGAGATATGAGTCGCATAAATATAGTTTCCCCAATATATTTAATTTCCCTTTAGGATTAATAAAGTATTTTTGAGTTGAATTTTATTCAGTTAATATCAAAATAACAAGGACGGTGTCCCAGAGAAGATATTTCAATATATAACTTAGAAGACAATAGAAAAAAAGCACTATGCAAATCCTCTTCAAGCGTGGTATGAAACCAGTTGTGCAAAAATACCAAATGTTATGCAAAAAGGTAAGCGTAAAACTGAAGTACATGATTTTATGCTTTTAATCTGCTAAAGTAGAGCAGCATTGAAAATACAACCTAACCAGGCCCTAAAACAAGACGAGGAGATGAATCATGGACAGCTTTTATCCATCAAATAAGTGGTTATTCATTTATTCACATACAGGTGAGTGTTAAGAATCTGTATCAGAGTAATAAAAGCTGACTTTAAATGTCTGTAGACAACAAGAAGGACAACTGACCGAGCCAATGTTTTTATAGTAGCTCGGACATATACGCCCTCACCTTAATAGATTAAAAAAGGAGCCACAATAATCTGGTTGCAAACATTTGAGTGAGAAACTAGTTTCTTTGCATTTCCTCACAATGCATTCAGAAAAATAAGAAAGTTGAACTGCATCAGAACAAATGCAGAAATCATTCGTTTAGCAAACAGCTTTTTGGTTACATTCAAACATATGTCTGTTATCATAACTTAGATAAGTAACATGCCAGTGGTTTCATATGCATAAAGCCATAACTTCTCACAACACAATATAATTTTAAATGCATTTTATCCGTCTTTACTTAAAACATTGACATGCTATTTATTTAAATAATGCTTAGATTGTTTGCAAGAAGGGACAGGGCAGACTGCAAGTCCTAAGGAGAATCAGGTCTTAAAAGTGTTTGCAGCAAATGCTTCATATATTCAATGCATTTGTTGTTGAGATCTCTTCTCTTCTGGCATCATCTGCACGGCTAACAGCATCAGAGCAAATGACTTAAAGAAGCTCAACAAGCTGATAAAGAAGGCCGGCTATGCTCACAAGCTTCTCTAGATCTTCTAGAGATCATTTCACAAAGAATTCTTTATAAAGTAAAGAGCATGGAATTTACTTTTACTTTAAGATCAATAAAGCATGTTTTTATTGAATTGTATAAATAATCTTGAAAAATAAAAGCTTAATGGGAACATTGCAACAGAAACTGAATAGTCAATACATTTACTAAAGAAAGCTTTCCTATATATTCGAAACTCGAAGCATTTTTCTTAAAGCAGAGCAGTGACTTATTTGCTGTCTTTGTGAGGCTGTTTGGAGCAAATAACACAGAATGGCCTGGAATGAAGATTGCTGAAGATGTTGCAACAGAGCAAGCACAAAAGTTCAGGGTGGATCATAAATCATGTGTCCCCAGAGGCAAGAGGAGCTGCTGTACACAGCACATCTAATATCCATCATATTTAAGGGGAATTAAATGTTTATAGCTGCAGATGTGTTTCATTTTGAGGGTGTGGGACTCATTATGCAGATTAGGACATATGAGAACCCCCTGATTATGAGCACTGCTGACGTTGAAAGTACTTGTAAATTGGCTTTTGCAAATACTTTAGTTCATTTTAAAAGTAAAACATCACAAATATGGATGAATTGATTTGCTTTGCTTCTGCACAGATACTTCTTTCTGTTCAGGGTTTATCACAGCAGCAGTGGGTATATAGGAGACTTTATAATAAATGTTTAATGCAGTCTAGCTTTTTGAATTACAAAATACAAATATTGCACCTGCTTCCGCCATTGGAGCTGCTCCCCATGCCGCTACTCATCATCATCATCCCCCCCTTCGTTGTCATCGACCTCGAAAGTGACTTGGTTTTGTATCCCTCGCCAAATTCGTATCCATAACCGCCTCCGTGGCCCGCGTCGCTCCGTGCGTAATGGTAGGTCCCCCCGCCGCCAAGGTCAGGGAGTTGGCCCTTGGAGCTGGCCCTCCGGCCCGAGTTGAGCATCTGCTGGGACCCGTACGTGCTCATTGTGACCGAGAAAAGGCAGCCAGGGAGCCGGACGCAGCAGACAGTCGCGTCTCCTCCAACTGTCCTCCTCCGGTCCCTCTGCTGAACAGTGAGGGTGAGAGGCGCGCAGGGAAGGAGACTTTTAGGAGGTGAAGGGCCACACCTCTGAGTCTCCACTCTCTCCAAAAGTTTTCATCTGCGCTGCCACGCCCTTTAAAAATCAGCTGGAGGCAGAAATGTGGGTGTGTTTTCATTCCTATCACTTTTGGAGCTACTTTGACTATCAGAGTTATGATGAAATGAACTCATCTTCTAAATTGAGCTGTTCAGAAAAGATGACTTTTACCAAAGAATAGAAAATGTGAAAGCTTGTGTACGTTTGTAACATTACAGATACATGCTTTCCAAAAGTAGTAGGAAAAAAAGACAATTTATGGGCTAATCTTGAAATCTACAGTCAAGGGCGGAGCTAGATGAGGGGGCAGGGGTGGCCCTACCATTTTTTCCCTTTTAATACAGATGGTGGCAGCAGTAATACTCTCAAGTGGAATATTCAAAACATTTAATTTTTTGTGGTTAATTATACACATCAATATACTAACATCATAGATGATAAGTACAGAACTCATGCTCTATTCAGAACTAGATTTTGTGTTATATTAACCTGACAACAGCCAGATGCATGTCTCGCTCCGCCGAGCTAGGCGGAGCGAGACATGCATCTGGCTGTTGTCAGGTGAGTGTTATATGGGGTAAAGAGAAAATTATGTGTCTCTGCAAGTCAGCTAGGACTTTTCAGTGAAATCAGAGATAAATAACAATTTTAAATAAAACTTTTCAAATAATCAATTTATGTAGATATAAGTTCTTGTAAATATCAATTTTATGCAGAATGTTTTTGATACAAGTAGGTAAGTAATGACAATGGAAAAGATTTATGCCCCAGAACCCAAAGCTGAGTTTTATCCTATAATTTGGCTGTGACTCCATCAGATGTACAGTATCTGAACAAACTAAAGAAAATGCAGGTATACGTTAGTAAAACCATCCACACTCCTTCTTCCCTTCATGGCTTGAGTTAGGCAGCCTTGTGGCTTCTGATAGTTTTCTTTCGGCACGTATCTCCTGTTTCCCATTCTCCATAAAGACAAGGTTTGTGGACTGCATCTAATAATATTGTCCTCTTAACAGATTTTCATGAGCTGTGGATCACTGCAGCTCCTTCAGAGTCACCTTTGGCCCCTCCTTGGCTGCTACTCCAATTAAAACTCTTCTTTTTAGGCATGCAGATTAAGGTGGTAAAGCCATGTTTAGGTCTGCAGCTGTGCAAACCTCCTTTCATTTTGGGATGATCGATTAAGAAGAGAGTGTAAAAATGTAGGATATTGTTTCATAACCCCACTCCACTTTAATGGTCCTCACAACTTCATTACTGACCTGTCGGCCATGATCCTTAATCCTCATGTTAAGACTTTTTTTTTAATTGGATTTATTAAATAAAACATTTTTTATTATTTGGAACAACAGAATGTAAATTCAACCAATAATAATGCTACATTTCATGTTTAATGATTTTTTTTCTTGTCATTTCTGCACAGATAGTTTAGCATAATAATGTTAATAACAGCTCAGATGATATGTAGAGCTGCAGAGTTTGCAAGCTAGGCAAGCCCCTAAAGGAATGAAGCGTCAGGAACATGTCAGTAGAGGAGTGTTAATGAAACGACACGCACAGGGTGTGTCCACAAGTTCGTTTCCAACAAGAAAGTAACAGACTTTCAATTCAAGACCTCTGTTCCCAGCTCTCTGTAGAGACTTAAAGGATTAAAACCTCCTTTCAAGGTGTTATCTTAAGCTTTCAAACTATAAATTGCAGAGGGTTTCCAGCATTTCAGTTTCGTTTCTGCAAATAAGCAACAATATATATATATATATAAATGTTGTTTGCTTATAATAACGAATCTGCTCTCACTGCTCAACACATCAGCAGGCTGTAAAAGAAATTATAGGTGTTGCAGAGTGCCAAATAGTTTTATTGCTTTTATGTGCAAAGCAGCAGCACGTTTGCAGAAGGAGGAAGATTCCAATTAAAAAAGAATAACAAGCAACTGAAGGTTCAGGGTAACACAATGAAAACATGCCTTTTAAAACCTTCTGAAATATGAGTAAAGATGTTGTCCAAAGTAAAAAAAAAAATTTGCATATTTGAATTATATTTTTATGGATTTAAGGACACTTTACTAACTCACTTAATTGCCAGTGTACTCTTTAAAAAACACATTGCATTAAACGCAATAAAAGTCTTGTTTTACTAAATCAGATCAGTTTCTCTTTTTGCAAGGCTCTGTGAATCTGCACCCTCTTTGTGATCCCTCTCAGATAAACTGCAGCAATGGTTTCAGGGCTTCCAGGCAAACTGCTGAATGGATAGGTCATAAACTCACTCACTAACGCCTGCAGCTAGTTGGTGGGACTCACAGGAAAAACAAGTTTGAGGGCCAATCCAAAATGACAGCTTTCTGTTTTCTCTTTCCAGAATGCAGTAAAAATCATAAATTTAGACCTCAAAGAACTATCTGTTTATCTTCTTGACAGACTTAAGCTGCTGGTTTCCTCCATAGCCCTCTGATCCAGCCTCTTCTGGCTAAGCACAAACTTACTCCCACCACTAGAGTTTAGAGAGTTCCAGCAGAAAGACAAAGTGCTTTTTTTTTTGTTGGCTTCTTTGTTGAGTGTACAGTAGAGTCTTTGTCTGGCCACAGGTGGTCCAACCCTCCTGCAAAGGCTGCAATTTACTGACATGATAGATACTTTCATGGAAACACCAGTGCAGCGTTACTCAGCTTTAAGACCCGACTCCTGAGTCATTGGAAAGGAGAGATTAAGTTGTTCACACACTAACTTAAGACAAACTTGAGACAGTTTGTTGGTGAGTTTATCTGAAGTTGCCGTAGAAACCTTTTAAACCCCCTCAGCTTTTTTCTCCCTCCTTTTTTTTCTATTTCTTTTATTTGTATAGAGTCCAAAAGACAAAAAGAAACAAACTTCTGTAGAGCACTTGCTTGGAATTTGCTGTAAAGATAGTTTGATAATGATAAGACTGATAATGTGACTGGGTTCCTACCAAGCAGCAGGAAAAGCTTGAAAAGGTTAAATAAAAGGAGGAGGTTGTAAAAAAAACCCAACTCACTTCTGAATATTGAGCAACCTTTTCAATTAGCATGTTAAATGATTTATATTAGTAACATTCAGTACTTTCCCAAACAAATCTGTACAGGACAAGTGCAAAAATCCTGCAGCAAGACTTCAAACTTAAGAGGAAAAAAGTTGGAGTTTTTTTTTTTTTTTTTTTATATATATATATATAAAAAGCTTTGGAGGGTGAAAACATTGGAGCAAAAAAAATAGTAATAAAAATACAGATACTGGAGATTTAGTACAAAACTTAGTCAGTCTGGTCTGTAAACCTCATAGGATCAGGGATTATGTTTTGTTATGTTTTTTTTCCCCCCAGACCGGTGGCTTGATACGAGCATAGGGAGGGAAAGATGACAGTCAGCTCCTTGAAGGTGATGCCACGGGTGGGAAAAAGGTAGACTGCTCTCTCTGGAGAGGAGTTCAAGTATAATGGTGTCATCTGTCAGTACTGTTCGGAGCAACTGCGTTACATAATCTCAATGTTATTAACTGTGTCAGTTTTGCATTAAAAAACGAATGTAATTCTTTGCTTTTAAACTTTTGGAAAGGCCATTATGTCATTTGCAGTCCAAAGAAATCATAAGCCCACTCTCTGCAGCAGGGAGAGGTTTTTACTGCAGAGACTAGTGGCTGGTAGCTGAGGCCCCAAACGTGACACCGATTGGCTGAGGATCTGCAATGTAGGTGCCTCCAGAAATGTTTCATAGGGGTGGCCAGATGGGGGCACTAAAAAGGTTGGGGTGGCACACTGAAACTAAAAGCCATAATTTTAGGATTTGAATCTACTATTGTGGTAAACCTGAAATCATAAAGACTTGAGTAAACACCTACTAATAGTGTTATGGAGCTGAACCAAAGTATCACAGGCCAAATTTCCACATGAGCAGGTCACCAATTCCATTCAATGTTGGAGAAGGCAAGGTGAATTACTGCAAATTTACTCTTCTAGCTAGGCTAACTTCATGAGTTGCTTTCCACAATGGTGGTCATACAAACAAGAGAAGCCGGTACGGTACCAAACAGGAAATATGCATAGTAAAGTGCGGATGTAGATTTGACCAATCATAGGCCCCCTGTCTGTGGCACTGTCTGCGGTCACCTACAATTTTGGAGAAGTGTCTGCGGAGGGGGTGGGTGCACATTTGCATTCGCTGCGACACACATGCAGTCGACCTGGTTTCTGAGTATAAGCCTTTACTCTCTCAGTTCTAATGAGAATATGGGAAGCAAACTTTTGGATCAGCTGAAGCTGTCTGACGGATTTTTTAAGGCAAACCTATGAAGCCACTGTCGCTGTAATCAATTCTACTACAGATAAATGCATGAATGAGTTTTTTTCTAGATCCTGTTTGGACATTAGTCCTTTAATCCTAAAAAATCTTCTTCTGCTTATAAAAGGCCGACTTAGTAACTGCCTTTATGAGCCTCTGAAGGTTCAGGTCTGAGTCCATCATAATACCAAGATTTCAGCCATAATCAGTGGTTTCTAGCTGTAGTAGTTTAAGGCTGTGAGCTAACACTGGATCTCTCCTTTTTTGGTCCAAAAATTATTACCTCAGTTTTGTTTTTATTCAGTTGGAGAAAACTATGGTGCATCCACATATTGATCTGTTGTAAGCATCTAACCAACCGGCAGAAGGCCAGTAAACAGAGAGATTTATCAAGAGCAATTTTCGGGTAAGGGAAGAGGGAGTGCAAGGGTGCTTTGAATTTATGTTATAAAATATACCGATTGAACCTCATCATTACTATAAACAGAATACTGAATAATGGGTAATCAATCTGGTTTAAAAGTCATTGCCTAATGTATTTCATAGGCCATATTACCAGTGATATTCAAAATTACAATTCATCACATGAAAAACTGCATATGACCAGAGATTATTTATTATTATCTAAATCAGCCTCCCAAAAAGTAATTCAACCATAGTCAAAAAATACTTTCAGCATATTGTATGC